GTATGACGAGTACTGAGTTACGAGTATTCGAGTAAAAATTCACTCAGTCTACAAAATTTATTATTACTTTAACAATCGAGATTTCTTTGATATTCTCAACATTTGAGTGACTCGATATTATTCCCTTCTTCAATACATAGACATAGTACTCATATTTTAAAATATGCTCTGTGTTGAGGTTAATGCTTTGTGGAATTTTCGATCAAAATATATCTTCGCAAAAGAAACTAGTTTGTAACAAATGTAATTATGAAAACCCTGTTAGTTGTAATTCTATTAGTCAATGTCGAACCTCAAAGACTAAGGTGTAGAAAAAAATGGAATTGTGATACTTGCCACGATGGAATTCATAAAATTGTGTTTAAATATATAAGAAAAATCCTTCTTATCGCGATCATTAGACGTGTATACCTCATCGAGTGTGCACATAAACGGTTAACAATATATTAAAAGTAATAACTTATGAGTGACCGGATCAAAGAACCAACAGCGCTGTTCGTGCCTTTATCGGTCCTCTACACCAGTGGTTCTCAATATTTTTGTAGAACGATCCTCTAATTTAGATTCATAAAAATAGGAATACACCTAAAGCGATTAATGGATCAATTGGATCAAAACGGTAAAAATTACAAATCTTTGTGAATTAATACGTGTATATGTTGACATTTTTAAAAATTAAAAATAAATGAATAAATTTAAATTTACTTAATTAAAATCAAAACAGTTAAAAAACAAATATAATAGATAAGTATCATAAAAAACAATAATAGTCAAAAGAAATTAGTGCGATACTTGTGATCGGTGAACTGAACATAGGTCTTCGAATTGTGAGTGAATGGTTGACAAACTTACGTCGTGATTTACCTTCAATATCTTTTAGCGTATGGCATTTTTTGTTTTTGTTATTTCTAATGTCAAAAATGCTGATTGACATTTAAATAATGTTAAAAAGGAAATAGAATTTGCAATACTTTTTTGCTCATTCCGGCGTATTCGTTTTGCAGAGAAATCCAAAATGAATCATTTTGAGATTTATAAAATTGAGATTTTTACGTTGTACTTATGATATTTTTATTAAATGAGATAAGATTATCTACATAATTGCTTTCTAATATGTGGTTTTTATTATTTCATCAGAATGCCGTGACTATATCAAAAGAGGCGTATATTCACTCCGCCGAAAAGGTCTTTTCATCTGTAAGAAACCTATCAATTCCGCCGAAAATATGTATATATTTATATATACACTATATACACATTACATTATATATATTATATCTAGCCCAACGGTATAGTGGCACGAAGTAAAAAAAAAAAAAAAACATATACATATTATAGAATAAATAAATAATAATAATAATAATATATATATATTATTACTGATTATTAATCAACAACAGTTGTAGTTGGATTGAAATATAAATGTTGAGCTGAGCATGTTTTAATAATACATCTAAATGCGGTAGAGTATGTATTTGTGCTTTTGTCAGGCAAGAAGAAATAGGATAATGGAATATAATATCCATTTTTAAAAATATGAACCGTAAACAGTTGATAGAAATATTTTGGGCAACTATAAAATGTACTATCTACAATCCGAAAATGTTTTAATATTATAATATATATGTTATATTCTTGTATACATACATAAATCTTCGGTGGAATCGATAAACTCCCATCAAAAGCTTACAGTTTCAGTTAATTATATTTTGGTGACACCAGTGGCGTAAATATCATAGGGCAAAGTGGGGCAGTAACCTGAGACCTCAGACCACAGGGGGCACCTTGAACATTTCTGAAACTATACTTCCCTAAAATAATTAACAATGTTGCTGGTAAATAGTTAATAATAAATTTCCAAATCATATATGGTGGTTCCAGTAACAATCAATATTGAAGTAGAATAACAATATATGCAATATTTGTTTATTTTTTATAACAGATACCTAATAAACGGAATTTTTTTTTTACTCTGCACATCTGTTAATTCTGGTAATTCATTTTATTAAAATTAATAATAAATTAGTATTCACATAAAAAAAAAAAAAAAAAAAAAACAATATAATAAATATACCTTGAATTTTCATGTAAAGATAATATCAGTCAGGGGCCTAATTTACATACGGCACCGGGGCCTCTTTCTGTGTAGCTACGCCACTGGGCGACACGCATTACGCTAATACATTACACACTAGATGCGACGGTTGAGAACGCTACACGATGTATGCACGGAAAACGTGGGTATAAACACAGAATAAAACAGAATGGACACTGATAACAAATTACATGGGCAGCATAGGACAATAATGAAATCAGTTAGCCATTTTATTTGAGGTACAGTAGGAAGTTAGTTACATTTTATTCCATCATGAAACGGTAGTACTATTCTTTATAAGCTACTGCGCATTTTCAAATGTTACTAATAGTAGTATTATTTTTCAAGATATTAGGTGCAATAAGAGTTTGAGATTTGGGGGCCTTATAAGTCTTATACTATGGTATGACCATGGGTCAACTCCCAACCTCCCATAATTACCAAAAAAATATAAATTGTGTTTTTGTAAATGTATTACAATTGTATTTGTAAATTTACTACAGCAATGATTCGCATTTTATAGTATTATATCAATATAAGCGTTTTTAATATACTTAAAAAATTGATAAAAATACCTGTATAAAACTATTTAATCATTGATGAATCTATTTTATACATTTTTTTTTTTTTTAAACACTTCCCATTCTGAAATCCTGTACATGGGCCTGTATTATAGTAGACATACTATCAAAAAAATGATCCACAAGTAAAAACTTCTTGGTACCCAGTAGGTCACCATGTTTCACACTGTTTGGTAGATCTCATATTAAACAATTACCATAATTGAAATTACAATTAATAACGAATATCAGTTATCACTGATTGTAATTTGATAACAAAAGTATCTCAATTAAAATGGTCGTTGATTTCGTTGCCGCCGTATTGTGTCCACCCCCTGGTATAAAATAAAACTCCTTAAAGGTGATATTTAGATTTTAACGTTCGTGTATATTTAGTTGCGTTCGGATCGCTGGTGAAACGAAAAGCGATATTTGTGTTTACGTTCCGTATGTTTTTCCAACTGTAATCACTGGTCAGCAGTCAAAAGTGTATAGTTTTTATGTACCCGAAACCGAGCTCCGCTAACGAGTAATTTTATCACAATTATAACTATTGTAAATACTTAATAAGACCCCACATTTCATTTCAATACCACTGTAATGTACAATACATAATAATATGATTTTTGACTTAATACATTGTCTTGTACATTTAACTCCTTTAATCAGTCCCATCCGCTCGATTTATTACTGTTTGTATTTAGCAGCCCGTAATGGTTAGTTTATATCGTAGTTATTATGTTATAATTATACTAATAATATTCATGTAAATTATGTGCATTCAATAAGTATCGTAATCAACTATATTTTTCGTATAAAGTCGCAACAGAAAAAAATATGACCTTATTTACGTGTGTGCCTTGTAAGCAAAAAAAAAATTCGGTCTTGGCGCATCATGGGTCTAGAGTCGTTCCTAGGGCAGGGCAAGTGGAGCCTTTTCATCGAGCCTCGTGTTTTTATAAATAATTTTTATAAATTGTTTCCGTCCAATAAAGTTTATGATCAAAAGAACTGTTAAAAGAAAAAAAAAAATTTCATCATGAAAGTTCTATTAATTATACTAGTGGAGGTAATTTTAAAAATGAGTATTTTTTTCCAAATCTTGACCAAAGAATTCTTTCTTTTCAGTTAAGTAGACAATTGAAACAGTTTGTTTAGTTTTTTATTTAATATTGGAAGTGATTCTGAAACGAATTCAGATGATTTGATGAATCATTGTATGGATTTTCAGATATTGTTACTAGTGGATAGAACTACAAATTTTAAGGAAAATAACTATACGAGGAGTTTGTGATTTAATCAGAAATTATTATCATTAACACTCCACCTCCAGAAGTTTTAAAACAAATTCTTTTATACATTGTTGATGATATATAGTTTAATATCTTTGTAGCATTAATAATATTATAAACTATGCCTGGTACTACGGCTGAACGATCGTTTTAAAATTTATAATCAATAAAAAAACTATTTTCGTAGTAATTTAGCACAATAAAAAGGTAAAAACTGGGCCATAATAACAATCGAAAAAGAAAATCGTTAATGATATTGAACATGATGATATTATAGATTCGCTTGCTGAAAATAAATCAAGAAAAGTTATGATGTATAACAATAATATATGTTCTTGAATATTATAATGTACAGAATTATTATATTTTTTATGTTTACTATACGTATATTTACTTTCATTTAGAGGTTTATAATAAGTATTTTTAATTTTTTAACGTGATTGTTCTAGTTACATACATTAAATGTATGTATTGTAAATACTCATATACATTTTTTAGAAGGTACTTCGATAAATATGGACTTGAGAAACTTTGAAGAAATGTATTTTAAGTTTACAAATGTATAGTTGATCAAGATTTAGAAATACAATCGAAGAACGTGTAGTAGGAGTAAAAATATTTTATTTTTTTTTAAAGGCCCCTTAATGTGTAGGGGCAGCCCTGCACGCGTCTAGCACAGCATGCGAATAATTGTAGTGTTCGGTCGTTCTAACCGATCGATGGCAAGTCCTGCAATCGTAGACGGATAAGTGATGGTAAACGGGTTACTAAGCACACTCCTCGTGCCAAAGTTACAGGAAAACGTATTACTCGATACGCGAACAACACATGTTCGTTTCGCACGTTGCAACACATTCGTTGCACTGTCGAGCTCACGAAAACCACATGTATAACGGCAGTAACATTATAATATATGTATTTATTTTTATTGTGCACGAATAAATATAATTTAAGATGTACAATAATGTATGCGAAACATAACCAAACCGTGCACAAAGTGAATACATGTTTTCGATACAATTTGGTTATATAAATTATGTATAATATGCGTAATAATTTATAGAATATTTATTATGTATTATACTCAAACGGGAACAATTGAAAACATCGCCACGACAATGACATTTCGATAAAAATATAAAAACATAAACGGTACAATATTAAGTTTCTAGTTTTTTTTTTTTTTTTTTAAATAACAAACGTCAATAATGAACACGTAACTCGTCGGTAACCCGCGGGTCGGCTGGAGGATGGTTGAGTGGGAGAAATTTGGGAGCGGGTGACGAGGAACATAAGAGATATAATATGATTATTTGTTATAAGGGAGTGTAATAATAATATGTGTAAAACACTAGGCCGATCGCGCGTGCATCATATTGTGTGAAATATATCATTCATGTTACACGCGAACGAGAGGTTTTCTATAAATATTTGTGTATATAAGTAGTATTATAATGTAGTCCAACCTAAAGTGCGCACGCATTATTCCCATATTACAATTATGTTACGGACGTTTCATGTACGCGTATACGCACGTGTGTATAAGTGAGTGGGGGAGACGGGGGGCTAGGTAAGTTAAGTTATTACGGGAGCGATATTATTATTGATTATAATAAAACGGGTTTGGGTTATTATTATAACTGTTATGGCTCGTCGTACGGCTTTTGCGTACGCGGATAACGGCCGAGTGTCGGTGGATCTCATTTGGACTGGACCAGGTTCAAGAATTCTTCGCGCGTCTTCGGATCGTCTCTGAACACTCCCAGCATGGTGGACGTGACGGTTTTGCTGTTTATCTTCTGCACACCTCTCATGACCATGCACATGTGCCTGAAAAAAATCAAAATCGATTAAAAAAATTTTGCAATAGAACGTCAATCATGTGTATTTGTGTCGTTTACGATATTTTTTTTCGTCGATCACCGATCGCTAATCATTCGTTTATTTATTTATCGTGCACGTTTATCCATCGGTCATTGACGTGCAAGATCGTCGTCGACAGCATTCCTAATACTATATATGCGACACTTGGTTTTTAGAGAATTCGATATTATAATACAATACATATCGCACTATCAGTGCAAGAGGGTCCTATATCAAATTTTCGTTTTTTGTATCTGAATTCGTATTTTTACTTTTTTTTTTTTAGAGTGGTGCGATCTATGTAATTATATTTTTAAATCATCAGTTATACATAAAGATAGAGATGTGAGTTCGTATTATACAAGGTATTATACACATGGTATAAAATTATTTTATACTGACAGTATAAAAAAAAAAAGGCGTTATTTTTAGTTATTACCACTATTATTGATTATCTAAACTATTATCATTTATTATTGTAACATGTTTATCCGTTGCGTACTAATTCTAAAAATATCCATAGCTGCGTAATTTTATCTTTATCGGCTTAATCTAACTGTCTATTGTTATTGACGTTATTGTATATTTAGATATTAATATATTAAATTATCATTATCATATTATTTATTCAATAATGTCTTCTTGACTCTTGGGATTGATAATTGACCAGGTTCTTGTTTTGATAGTCTAAATTTTTAAGCTTAAAAATGGGTAGGCCATCGAAGCAAAAACAAATTGTAGCCAAATATTTTAAAAAGCATTTACAGAATAGAGGCAAATTAGATTGCCATGAATGTATTTATTGTTGTCAAACTTTTGCAAACAACTCTTGGCGAATGGATTTAATTCTGGGACATTTTCATGTAAAATTAATCCTGAAGGGATTTTATTCAGTGCTTAAAAAAAAGAAAGGTTTGTACTTGTAATTTTTTTTTTTTTGGTCTAAAATATCAAGCCTGAAGAATCAAATAATTTTTATGAACATTGAGTACCCAAAAGATTAATCATATTGTTACGGGCATACATACATGTAGGTTAAATTAAATTTATACCGTAGTTAAAATATTTTTAGAATTCTCTATTTATATTTTATTTTTACTTGTTAAATAATTTAATTTATATATTATTTTTATCACGAAATTTAATGATGACAGATTAAAAAAATTACTAACATAGAGACAAACTAAAGCGTGCATTATATCGAAATAAATTTAGAATCGAGTTCAAAGTTGGTAAAAAATAAAACTAAAATTTTTAACTAAAATCAAATTATTTTCTTACTTTTTTTATTCATTCATGCGCTATAATTTTGTTAGATTTTCGTCACTTTATTTTTATATAATCTATATTGAGTATGTTATATTAAATTAAATTTTAATTAAATATTTTTATTCCGTTTTATAACCATTTTAAAACCGTTAGGATAATGTAATAAATACTTAATTCCTTATGCCTTTGTTGATAAATACGAAAAAATTTAATTTGAGTACCTACCTATTGTTTTATTGATATATATTTTGAACAATTGGAAAACAAATAACAAAAGGTTTTTCGCTTTATCATTATATTGTGCGTAAGTCTACTTTACAAACGCGTCTGACGATATAGTCCGTAAAAGCTAAAAAATAAAGATAAATGCGATGTTAAAAACTGTATTTTACTTACACTCCTTCAATGACCACGGCAACTCCAGAAGGCTGAATGGCTTGGGTAACAGCTACGGCAATCTGTTTAGTCAGTCGCTCTTGAACTATAGATAGAAAAAAACCATGTTATGTAATATTATATTGTATTATACAATATGTTTAGGGACATCGCCATAAATATCTATTTATTTATTATTATTAGCTTCAACGTGAAGTTTAATAGGGCTTTCTTTAATTTTTCAGTCTCATAATTTGACTATTTTACGGTAATTTTTAAGTATTCAACTGCTGGTATGCGTTTTTAATATATCCACTTTTTAATGAATGCGCAGTTGCGCAGATTGGTATGGAAATCTAAATGTTTTGTTGCGGAATTTTGTTATTTTTTTAAAAAATTGGTTATTATAATAATACTAAATATTAGTTAATATTTATTTATTTAACTAATACACCACACATAGATGAATGAACAGATACGTCATAAATTGTAACACTTGTAGTTTTAATATGTAATTTTTTTTATTGAAAATAAATATCTGTTATTATAATCATGAAATATATTTATTTAATTTGTCTAATTTTATTTATGTTTTTGGAATTCTGATAGCCAAATACCGTATGCATTTAAGTATAAATTAATATACCAAAACTTAATTTTTATATAATTACATAAATTCAGATATTTTTTTATGAACACTATAATTTATTTTATAATTTTTTTGCTATTACTGTTTTTGTAAGGTACCCAATATTTTTATTCTACTTTACTATATTAAAGTTCTATAATAATTAGTTAATTATTTTACAATTTAGAATTTTATGATAGCTTATGAGCTTATAAAGTGTATATTATATATATATATATTAAAAAGTTTCGAAGTTTTGTCAAACCCGTGCACAGTTTTTTTTTCTTAGAATATTAAAAATTACGAATACCGTAAGAATATTATTTAATAATTATTAAAAAATATCAATGGTTAAATTATAATTATAATAAAACTATATTTGTACATTTTTCTATTAGACTACTGTTAATGTCATCGAATTCGGTGTGTAAAATTTATTTTAAAATGATTTCGTCAATCTTACCCTGAAGTCTCCTGCTAAACATCTCCACGATACGAGCCAATTTACTGAGTCCCAAAATTTTGTTCTTCGGCAAATATCCAATCGACACTTTCCCGTAGAAAGGAACTAAATGATGTTCACACATGCTGAACATTTCAATGTCCTTCACCACAACCATTTCATCGTGATCTTCGTCGAACACTGCATCGTTGAGTACCTCTAAAACACAATGAACACGTTGAATATTGTGTGACCGGCTAATTGCTCATCAGTCATTGACGGTAAAAAAATTGTCAGATTCGGATATGGATCAATTGATAAGATAATAGGAAAAATAAGCCGTTTCCTACTCATTTTCAACAACTTTGATAGCATAAAAACACTTGGAAATCGATTAAATTATTTCAGATTTCTCACGTAAAGCCACGGAAATGACGAAAACACGCATATACTATATAGTATTATAATATTATTCATACAATTGTTTTTCATTTCCAAATATCACAATCAATATTGATAGAATTTCGCATAGAATTTTCATGCAGACTGAATATTAGAGTCTCTATTGCGCACCTACAGTGTGCGCTCAGGTACCTAATTATGGTCTTGAAAATCTTTAATATTTGCTATACTTCGATTATTCATTTTTATTAGAGAATATATTGTTATTTACCCAGTCAAGCGTATTATTACTTATAGGCTATTAAAATTTGTTTTTGCCAAATAATCCGAAAAAATGTGCGAATGATAAAAACCTGCGTCTTTAAAAGATATATTTTGAATACATTATGTTTTATTTAATATTGATATTCCGATAAATCAAGTGCTACGCGAATTACAAATACTTGTTAATAGAAACTGGGTAAGAGTTATTTTACAATTTATTAGTAATTAAATTAAACGATGATAAAATTATGAATGGTAAATAATAATTCGAGTAAATGGCTTCGATGAATATAGCTAAAACGATGAAATTTTGTTAGCCTTGAGTTTTCTCGAAAAAAATAATTATATTCATCCTTTAATATATTATTTTATTATATATAGAACATATTATTATTATACGTGAAGATGGTATAAACAACTATAAATTACTTTTTAGTTATTATTTAACAATATGAAAAGATTAAGGTTACATCTTTATTTTTTAAGTGTAAAACATTATAATGTACTAAAATATATTATATATAGTTTATTTTTAATTATCACAATTTAAAAATAAAATATTTTCGTTCATTAACAATTTTTAATTAAAAAAGTTATCGAAATACAATTCGACATGTTTACATTTAATTTATAATCAATTTATTATAATTTTTTATTTTATTTATATAATTCTAAGTATACTGTAAATATTGAGATTTGTAATTTTTATAAGAGAAAAATGTAAATTTTTATTTTTACCAAAATTAAATCAATCTTTAAAAAGAATAACGTACGAAATAATTCGACTTCAGTAACTATAGCTTCCATTTCTAATAAAAATGATTAGTTTGGTTCAAATTGAAAATACCCATTCATTTTTATTGCATAAACATTTTTTTTTTACTCAATTGCATAAAAAAGGAAGACAAAACTGTAGTCAAATTTTTTTTGTAGTACGCTGATTACCTATACACAGGCCCTTTGGAGTATATATTATATTCTTCGTTGAATGTCACTCTCAGTCTCGGATATCATTTGAAGTCGTACCCAGAACAGGTAATTGGACCCTTTGTGCTCAGGATCTCAAAGCCAACAATGATAAAACTTGATTTTAGGTTGGTACAGGAAGAGTAAACCAAGTATGAAGTATACGATATAAAATCTACCCAGATTAGAATTTATGGTGGAAATTATAATTAGAGCCTGCACAGTTGTGTGTGTCATCTGTGTAACATGCAATTGTAATAAAGTACCATTCATTCCACAATCAAAAATGTTGGTGAAAAACAGTCAGATATACACTTTATCACAGAAGCTTATCGTACGGTTAATTTAAATAGCACTACACATCATTATAAACAATTTAATAACAAAAAAAAACTTTTTCTGTTGACAATCTTGATGTTATCATTAAAAGTTTAAAATCTAGATTTTCTTCGATTCGATTTGTTTTAAATGTACCGAATATTAGAATATTTAGTGTGTACAACATGGTAAAAGAAAACAGTTCTCGTAAATCCTTCTTCTACAATAACTGTAGTATAAATAATTCATATTCCAAAAGTTATCAAACATTTAACGTATTGTTATTTTGTAATTATAATCATGGTTTTAAATACCAATAAGAACACACTAAACCGAAACGGTTGAGACGTTACTTAATAATTAATACACATTTATCGACATGATGGTTTATAATGAAACTCATTTCCGCTGGGGACTCGGTAGACTACAATTATAAATTGAACGGTTCAAACATACAAGTATACATACGTGCGCATCGTTCTACCCCTCCGGAACATCTTTATTATTTTTCATCCTCATTCATTTTTAGTACGAAAATAAATGTCAGTAGCCTCAGGTCTTAGATCGAGCGACCCAAGGAAACGGTCATCTACAAATAAATAATAAAGGTATATCTAATATACGCAATATGATCGAAGATTACATACTATACGCATGTTTTTGTCACGTACAGTTCAGGAGTTGTGAGTTATCGAAAAAAAAACTTATTGAACGAGGTGTACACCGATACTGCATTTGTTGATCGAAGACTAAAATGAGTAGCTTGACCGACAACGCGGACGGAGATGGTTTATTCTAATAACGGGTACGTGATATGGTATGATATCGTTACCGTACACACGGCGATAGAATCGAAGTACGTATTAGGAGAATATCGATTTGAAACCCAATCGTGGGCAAATTCGTTACTGCTCGATTAATATTAAAACGTGTTGATTAGACAGGGTCATTCTGAATATTCAGCTATTCATGTGACATCACATCCTGTACGCAATGCGAGTTCGGACAATAATAATTAACAGACACATTTTCTCTCTCTCGCTCTCTAATATACTACTACTTTAGACTAAAATACTAATCCACATGGTTATATCGATTTGCCACGAATGCAATACGTATATATGTGAGTTCAACGAGCAGTATTATCATATCATCTTATTATTATATTGTCCGTAAATCGTAAGGGATAACGACGTTCGTATGGAGCGTCGGTGCCGTACGTACGCCTAAATCCACGGGGCAACGGAAGTCGACGGACAACGCGAGAAAGATTATGACGCGTTCAATCGGAAACGACGACCACTTGTAGTCGGACTACTAGTTCACTTCACAATACCTTAAAATTACGATGATTTAAAAGCTTTTCCACCGCCGTCTGTCCCGTTGAACATAAACGATGGCAATTTTCAATTTGCTGTTGCCGTGGTAACAATGCGTATTCGACGGTTTATCACTGTACGTATTATCCCGCGGGTCGATAATATTATGTAGGTGCACTATTACGTATCATTATTATTTTATTTCTTTCTCTCTCTCTCACTGTCAGACGATAAAACGTGATACGGCCGCCTAACGTCGTCGTGGTATTGTAAGCCTTTTTATTTCGCTCCCGAACAATCAAAACGATTTTCATTACCGATCCGAATGCGTTTCGTCGTTAAGATATAATAGTTGAACGATTTCCTGAGCACCGTCCGGTTTCCCTGTTGCTTAAAGTTTTTACGGTACACAGTTGGGTGTGTGTATCAAAATACGAGCACTGCACGGAAAGAGACAAAACCGGTGGTTATTATATTAAAAATTAACTATCGAATTTCGTATGGAATTCGTAACTGGTACGTACGGATTGTTTAATAAAGCAATTGGGGCTATGTTATGACTAAATATTATTACCAATGAAAAATTCACAAACAATATTAAATCTAAAATAACTTTAATGATAATTCAATAAATATTGTAGAAGAGAAAGAGAATAAAAAAAAAAAACTTTGAAAAAGTATAAGAAGCCAGTAATTCAAATTAAACATAGTTGAATGCTTGCGCGTAAAAAAGATTAACATTAAACAGTCAATCACTTAAAATTGGCCGTGAAGAACCACAAAATCCATTAATTTTGATTAGTATCAGTTTTAAAAAAATATTAAATCATTTGCATTTTTCCTATAAACGTTACGAACTTTAAAAAGCTACTTACCGCTTAATGAAAATACTTATAAAGTGAGCTATTTTTGAAATTTGAGCAACGGTCGCGGCGTATATAAAAATATTATAAATAAACGATGTATTGTTTACGAACTTAACTGATCACAGTATTTAAAAACATGACATCGTTACGTTATTTACAAATATAATATGTCAACGGGAATGTAAGTGTTTCAATTCAAGATGCTTTTGCTGTACAAATGAAACACCTGTTTGAAACAATTAAACGAAAGAATATGACATAAATGACGAACAGTAAAGCAAATGTGTTGTTTCTCGAAGGTAAACTTTTTGCGAATAATTGTATTAATTAAATTAAATTCCAATGATCTTTGCATGCATAGTTGACGTGAATGAAGTGTTTGTACAACAAAACTGATACTATTATAAATGACAAGATTCAATAAGATTTAATCAAAACCGAATATTTGCACTTCGTATGGATGAAACAATCGTATCGAATCATGCGTGATGTTAATTGATTTAGTATGCGTTAGTAGCAGTGAATTATCGATCGTTCTAAACTCGAAGAGTTGTAGGTGTGGTAACGAACGCATTTGAAATATTGCCTGCACGTACTCGGTAATGCGATTCGTTCGATTGTGGTTCTAGAGTTATTTTACGTTCTGACCGATCACGGACTTTGAGTTGACTCGAGATTCTACACGCTGTTGCTATACCCATCACGGCAGAGCGAAATGGCTGAAACATTTCAAAAAAAATACGACACTTCCAATAAACAACGCGATACGAATATTGTACGCGAACATTATGTTACGAGACTACTGTTCCGCTACGTCATCGGTTAGGCATAACGGTACGAAACGCCAATAATTGGCGATTATTGCTGTCGTGCGCACATTTACTCAAGTGATTCGAGGCAAGCACGCCCGCAGGATAAAATCTCACTCGGGTCAAGATTAAAATTAGGAAAAAAACAACGTATATCTAAAAATAGATAAGAACAAAATCAAATATCATAGAAATCGGTACTCGGGAGAGTTTATAGTTTTAAGCGATATGCAGTCAGGTGTAAACATTGTACACCAATAAATAAGTTCAAGATT